CCCCCTTTCTTCTAACACTGATGACGTTCCCTAGTTGGGTCACGAAATGTCTGCAAGAAAACCACCCAGCTCAGAGAGAGCACCAGGGACCTCCCTTTAACTGCCTCGCTTATCATCGGACGTTCTGCCCCCCAGTCATGGTCATAAGCTGAGGACTCCCTGTAGATGCCTCATCAGGCAGCGAGGAAGCACAAACCTCGCCTCTGTTTCAGGTCCTCGTTTGGCACACCCGGACGGAGAAGCCGAAGATGAAGCAGGAGGAGCTTTTACAGAAGCAGGGCCTGGGTTCCGATCTCGGCATCGAGGTGTGAGACCAGTTTCCAACCCAGGTACCACAAGCGGCCGTGGGGGGGGGTGCGCGTCTCTGCCGGGCCGGAGAGCCCACCCACCCCCAACCAGAATGTGATTGCCTTGTATAGAGAGAAAACATTATTTTAATTTATGAAGGCTGAATCCTGTCCTCACCCAAGGTCTCTGGATATGCTCAGTGGACGTTGCCTTACAGGAAGAAATCTCTACCATCCAGTATTTAAACAAATATGGACTGGGGGTTGGGGGGGTGGGAATTGAAGTTCTGGGGAAGGGCTGGTTCCTGTCCCACTTGCTCTCTGTGTGCGTGTATCTTAGGTGTTGTCCTTAAGGCTGCTCTGGTAATATGCATGGGAATCTTTCAACCCCTTTGGTCCAGTTTCATATATCCACACACACCCAAGACTCTTGCAACAAATCTCTTAACAAATCAAATTAATTTATTCTTGGGTCTCTACTATGGGCGATGGAAAAGGCAGGTTTTACTCATTTCAGAGTCTGCCCGGGCTTTCTTTAAAAGCCAGAATTGGGGCAAATTTCAGACTTCTGGACTACAACTCCCAGAATTCCTCAACTAGCGTGATGGCTGACAAGAGTAATTCTGAGAGTTAAAGCCCCAAGTCTTAAAAGTTATCATGTTTGGAGACGCTTGCTTTAAAGCCGTGTTTCTCAACCCAGGCAGTATTAAAATGTCTTGACTGCAACTCCCAGAATCCCCCAGCCAACGTGGTTTGAGGTGACTGGACTACAACTCCCAGAATACCCCAGCCATCATGGCTGACGAGTAATTCTGAGAATTGAAGTCCAGAAGTCTTGGAAGTTACCTTTGCTTTAAAGCTGTGTTTCTCAACCTAGGCAGGTGAAAATATCCTGACTGCAACTCCCAGAATTCCCCATCCAAGATGCTTTGAGATGTCTGGACTACAACTTCCAGAATTCCCCATCCAAGATGCTTTGAGATGTCTGGACTACAACTCCCAGAATTTTCCAGCCAGCGTGCTTTAAGATAACTGGACTTCAATTCTCATTTAACTCTATTAAATTAATTAAATAATAATAATAATAATAATTGCCTGGGGAATTCTGGGACTTGAAGTTCACACAGCTTAAAGCATGCTGGCTGGGGAATTCTGGGAATTGTAGTCCAGAAGTCCGCCCAGTTTTATATTGCCAAGGTTGAAAAATAGCTGCTTTAAAGCATGGTTTTTATTTCAGGGATGGGGACGGGTGAATTTAACCTAAGGTGGTCATTAAACAAACCAGGGTTTAATCCCGATGTGTAAAAAAGAAAACCTTGCCAAATTTGGCGCCTCCTGTATTTTTCACTTTGCATTTGTGTGTGTGGGGGGGGATTGTGCTGCTTTCCGCATCCTGGCATATTTTACCTCTGTCGTGTTTGCTTTGGGACGGTGAACAAGTAGATTACCGAAGATCTTTGCGCGATCGCTGATCTGGTTTATCTCAAATCTTTGCTGCGCCTGAACTCACTTTATTTCTCGAGTGCGCCTGGAATTTTCCGAGTGACTGGGAGGTCTTCCCACTTGGAAAACGAACGTGGGAATGGACACCTTTCAAAATGGGGAGGGTTTTAAATTCACTTGTGGGCCTCAGTGTGCTTGATTGACACTAGAGGAGACCTGAGGGATCCAAGAACAATGAAGCTAAACGATCAGCCTGGTGCTGGCACGGCGTCCCCCCCCAGATCATATGGCATTTGCTCCTGACTACACCACACCCAGGTTTTGCATCCTTCAACGCTGAGCTAAGGACTTCCAGCAAAGAGGTGTGTGTCTTTGCAACACACTCCAGCCTCGCCCAAAATTTTCTCAACACAAAAGAGGCCGCTGAGGAGGGATATTTCAGCAGCCAGCTTTCGTTTTCCGCCTATCGCTGAAGGAAATGGATATGATACAGGTCGTTTTCGGTTTGCAAGCTTTCATTTAGCGATGGTTTGAAGGGACCGCACTGAAAAAGGTGACTTAACGATGGTTTTTCACACTTACGACCATTGCAGCACCCCTCCCCGTGGTTACGTGAGCAAAATTCAGCCGCTCGGGCAACTGGCTCATATTTGTGATGGTCGCAGTGTCCCGAGGTCACGCCATCCCCTTTTGCGACGTTCTGACAACAGTGGGGAAGCCAGAGTCAGTTAGCCGTGTGACGGATTGAAGAGCAGTGATTCACTGAACATCTGCGGCAAGAAGTCATAAAACGGGACAAAACCCACTTAACAAACTGTCTCACTTAGCAACATAAATGTTGGGCTCCATTGTGGTCATAAGCCGAAGACTACCTAGAACCGAGGTCTCCAAACTTGGCAACTTTAAGACTTGTGGACTTCAACTCCCAGAATTCTCCAGTTTCGTTTCGTTTCGTTTATAGGTTTAGTTTTAGTTTTGTTTATTGTCATTGCCCCTCGTACAATGAAATTAAATACCATCTTCAGTGTCCAATTTATGACTGTGGAAATAAAACACAAACCCATATCCTTCACATGCTATACACTGAATTGAAAACCCCTGATATTGCATGAATATTGCAGTAGAATTCAACAGATAGAAGCTGTTTTTCAGCCTATTTCTCCTTGTTTTTATGATTATCCTGTACCGTCTGCCAGGTGGTAATAGTTCAAAAAAAGGGTTCCCAGGATGAGATGGATCTTTGAGGATGTTTTGAACTTTCTTAAGGCAGCGGGAGATATAAAGCTCTTCCAAAGAGGGGAGAGGGCAATCCGTGATCCTCTGGGCAATGACGTTCACCCTCTGGACTGCTGTCCTATCTGCCCCTGTGCAATTGGCAAACCCTACAGAGGTGCAGTGAGTTAAGATATTCTCTATGGTGCAGCGGTAGAAGGTCACCAGCAGTTTTCTATTCAGCCAGCTGGGATTTGAAGTCCATAGGTCTTAAAAGTTGCCAAGTTTGGAGACCTATAATAACCCTGACTAAATAAGCTTTATTCTTGATAGTAAAATTTCACACTTCCATTATTAGGCTGTGTTGGAAAACGCTGCCTGAAATTCATTCTCTCTTGGCCTAGAGATAAACACGCTGCTCCCCCACTCTTTCTTTTTAACCAATGCACCCCAAAAACTCAATTGCCTGGATCAATTGTGGTCATAAGTCAAGGTACCCTCCTCCGCAATGGCCATTGTTTCTCCCCTAAGGCCCCAATCAACATCCTTAGCCCTGTGCTAAGCCACCATTCACAGTATTAGTTTTAGGGTGCAGTCCTCCGCGATCATGTACGGAATGCAACACCGATCGTCGTTTTTAAACCACAATTCATGGCTTAGCATCAGGACAGTAGAGCTCACGCTTATTTGCTCGAGTTGAAAAAGCAGAGCATACATTTAATAAATTATGTTGAAAGGTTTTGGCTGCTGTTGATTTATTCCAAGGGTGGTTTATTCAAACGTCACGTAGATACTGGAAGCCAGAATATTTTGGAGTCGGAGGATGGGTCTTCACGCTAAGCCAGGGTGAGGTTGGCTTAGCAGGTTGTGGGAATGTGGTTACAGGTAGTCCTCAAATTACAACAGTTCCTTTAGTGGCTGAAGTTTACAGTGGCAATGGAAAAAAAGTGACTTACGGCCATTTTTTTTACATCTGTAACCATTGTAGCATTTCCACATTTATGACGGTCGCCGTGTTCTGGACTCATCTGATCCCCATCTTTTGCGACCTTCTGACGAGCAAAGTCAACAGGGAAGCCAGATTCACTTTATAACCGTGTTCCTCATTTAACGACGGCAGCGAATCCGTTAATAAATGTGGCAAGAAAAAGTCGTAACACAGGGCAAAACTCGCTGAACAAATTTCTCAGCAGCGTAAATGTTGGACTCCCATTGTGGCCGTAAGTCGTATACTTATGTCGAGGGTGTAAAAGAGGCAAAATGACAGCTCAGGTGAGATGTTTTTTGAACCCGGCCAGGTCCTCCAGTGGCTTCTTAGAAGTTTCTGCAACTTGATCCTCCCGGGATCTGTGCAAGGGGATTGATTCTGTGTGCGATCAATGAAGTTGCCAATTCTTGGCCAAAACAGACTGGCCAGGAAGAAGCCTGGTGCTTTCCTGGCAAGAGATCAACTGAGCGTGAAACTTAAAATGGGTTGAAATTGAAAATCGCCCGGCCAGTTCTACCATCCTGCTTTACCCCCTTGTTCCTTGGAAGCAGCTGTTTCCCTCACCTGCGAAACCGTAATCGAGACCCTGGTTTACTAGCCAAGAAACGCAGCTTATCTGGATAAGGGCTTTTCCCCCAGATTTCCCGCCTTTTAACCCTCCCTCTGGAGAATAAGGCAGTGCTCCCGTCCTCCCTGCCAAAAAGCTGCCAGGCTAGCAAAAGGCAGGAGATTTTAAAACTCTGCCATCAGCATTCTAGTCCTCAGCCAGGAACTGGCCATCAAAACATTATCCAGATGTGTCAGTAACAGGATGCTGGGAATAATAATTATGCAGCAACATCTGGAAGCTGTTAGATCTCCCCCCCCCCCCAATGAATCCTGGTGCATCTTCTTCCCACTTAAGAGACTAGGGCACTTGTGATTTGTGAGTGCCACAAACCGTAGTCGGTTTGCTTTAAGCTTGGATCCTGTCATGCCAGCAATTGTGGTCTGAGCTTGATCGCACGTCAGTGAAGGAATACAAATTCAGCCAAGTTCTCCACAGCCCAGCTGCTCTGTGTGTGTGAGAGTAAAAGGCGGCTCTCTGTCCCTAAGACTGTTTCCATGGGGCGATTAAGACTTCTGTGGAGCCTCTAGGCTGCAGTGCAGTCTACCTCAATGCATTCATTGGCAGTGAGCTGTGGCCGAGCGGGGTTTTTGGGGACTCCAGTTTCTCCTCGTAGGAAGTTTTGCCCCACTCCCCTGCCCCCCCCCCCCAAATCATCGCCCGACCTTCCCTTTTCTTCTGGCCCACCTTGTTTGTATCCTGTACCACGCCTGCAATCCTGTTTGTATGACCTTACACAACTTGTTTATGTCTACATATTTTGAAGTGTTTTGATAGCTGTGGCATGGATTTCATTATTGACAGTAGGCCAGCCAGAGAGTTTTGTTTAGTGAGATGGGTTGCCATTGGACTATGATAGGCAGGCAGGCAGAGAGAGACCAGGGAGGGAGGGAGGGAGGGAAAGGGTCCGGAAGCAAGTAAAGACAAGATGGGAAGGAAGGGAAGGAAGGAAGGAAGGAAGGAAGGAAGGAAGGAAGGAAGGAAGGAAGGAAAGGGAAGGGAAGGAAAGGGAAGGGAAGGGAAGGGAAGGGAAGGGAAGGAGGGAGGGAGGGAGGAAGGAAGGAAGGAAGGGAAAGAGGGAAGGGAAGGAAGGAAGGAAGGGAGGGAGGGAGGAAAGGAAGGAAGGATGGAAAGAAGGAAGGAAGGGAAGGAAGGAAGGAAGGATGGAAAGAAGGAAGGAAGGAAGGAAAGGAAGGGAGGGAGGAAGGAAGG